TTTCCCCTTGATCTTCTGAGACGTCCTCTGCAGACAAAATAAGTGACGGGACCAGCCACCACATCATCTTTATGGCTGCATCTGCAGATCTTCCTTAAGTGTGAACAGAAGTTTTCTGCTCTTTCCTCCCTGCTGTGTTGATTTCTATTGCTGTCTTTTTCTTCTCACCTGTCTTCAATCTTCCTCATTTTTCTTGCCATCTATTAAGAGCCTGACTTAGCAAAGCAGCTGGTGTAACATAGCTAGGGCCAAACTGGCACATGAAAAGCAATACTATGTTCATTGGGGTTTTTTTTGTAAAGAATTTAACTGCAGGAAATTGAAAAAGTGATGGGGATTTTTTTCTTTTCCTTTTCTTTTTATTATCTTTTTGAATGTGTTTATAGTATGCAAGTATTAATATACTTTGTCTTATCCCAAAAGAAACTGATTAAGCCAGACCTAAGAACTTGGAGGAAATGCCTGAAACTAATTTTTTTGCTCTCACCCAATTAAATTTTTTGTAGAATTAAAAAAAAATAGTTCTTGTTTTGTTTCTCCTCATTCATAAAAAGACTTCATAATTAACAAAATTGTAAGTCAGTTCTTTAAAACAAAATATTTTTTTCAGTTGAGGGTAATTTCCATGTGGATATTTCCTGTTATCTTCTATTTCACTCTTTGTGTAATTGATATTAAGAAAAAATTCTTTCGTTATGCTATGCAATCAGTGTAGAAATATCCTGTAGCAGAAAACAACCCTGAAATTACGGTCAACAACATGGGGAGGGAACAGAGCTCAAATATATTTAAATCAATGTAAGTCATCCAGGCAGAACTGTACATTCTAGCAGCCTTTATTCTCTAGCAGCATGGAAAAATTTTTCCCTTTTTGACATCCCTAGCAACAGCTATAGCAGACTTCAGGAAATAGTTCTTTTCCAGCAATCGCATCCAGCATATGATAACAACTTTGCCAAAAGGTGGTGGCTCTGAACAGAGGAGTCAAGTGAAAACAAACAGAAACAACTAATCTGCCATCCTAGGAAACCAAGCTGAAATTAATGGATTGGATGTATAGGTCTCCTTCATGTAGATCTGTGATCTGTTTGAGGTAAAAAAAAAACAGACAAAAAAAGGAAGATATTATTTTCAAAGCAACAGAATAAAATTAAGTTTTATAATAATTTAGTTACTGGATAGATCCTAAAATTTTTAAGAAAATTACATAGAAGTTATATGCTCACTTTCATTTTATATAGCAGGTTTATCTGGAGGCCTTAATGTTATCTTTTATCAGGAGCACTTACACATTTTTTTCCATCAGAAATATTTAAATCTTGCCTAATACAATGCTTTTAAACTTATATTCATTCATTACTGAAGTAGTAATGGTCCTTATGAACAGCTTCTAACCTAAATGAAGTCAAAGCACATGAATTGGCTGGGACATGTGCTTATGGAAGCCTCCCATCTATAATGTCAGTTTAAATACCAAGGAAAGGTGGCACCCAGGCTCTGAAAGAAAAAATGCTGTTCTGAGGAAGAAGAGAACTTGCCTTTTGTCATGGCCACAGTAAGGTCCTTCAGACTTTGAAATGCTAATTTCGGACATTATGTGCTTAGACTAAGTGGGGTAGGGTGAAATATGGACATTTTTATGAAGAACTTGGAGAAATAAATCTTTTTGATTGTATTTTTCTGCACTGTTGGCACAACAGGATTCTGACACTTGACAGTAGCCTCCAGATAAACCTTCTACATAAAATGACAGCAGCAACCAGTAGAAAAAGTGACAGCAGACGCTTTGTGTTTTTTTTTCCAGCTTGTACTCAGGAAAAAGCTCTCTATTCTGTCATTCATGTTGTACACAAAAAGAATGGTGTTCATCAGCATTGACTCTTAGTGATACAGCTGGTGGAGGATGTGGCCATTCCTGGGATATGGCAGTTGCTAATATCATCCTGGTTATTTTGCCATGCCTTTTTGTCACCATAAACATGTATTTTACTTGGATTTTCCCCCCTCCTGCTCAAATAGACAGTAAAACAGCCATTTAACCTGATGATCATGTACTCACTGTTTAGGCTATCTTATAACAACTGAATCTTTTTAAAGGCATGCCTTGAGGATGACATTAAGTAGACTCTCTAAAACAGAGAGTTTAGACTCTCTAAAACATTAAGTTGTCTCTCTCAGAGGTTTTATTGTCAAATAAGAGAGATTACACCCAGATGCTCTGTGTTCCTTTTCATTCTTCACCTTGATTGCTCTCTGTTGAAGGCAGAGATCATAATATTTTGGTGTGGTTCAGTAAGTCTTGCATGATATTTGTAGTTGTTATGGTAGAGGTAATCCTCTACCTTTACTTAACGAGCAAATCCAACTGAACTAAACCAAGCAGAAATACACTCAACCACTCCCACTCTCTCAAACTGTGTTTTCAAGAACTAAAGTTAGGTCGAGTAAGTTCTGTGAAGCATTTCTATGTCCTCAATTGCAAGTTCCTGCTGTTCACTACCTGGAGAGAATGAGGAAGGTATTTCATGCGAACCCTGACTTGCAGAGGGAGGTATGGCCAACTGTCCTTGCATTTGACAACTCCTGATTGCACCAGCAGCTGTGCTTCACATGTTTTGTTTGTGGATGATAGAGCTTAAACTGAAATCAAGATATGCCAAAAAAAAAGGTGCAGATGAGTGAATCAAAGCAAGCTGACTAATCAAATAATACCTAGAGATACCCTTACACTGATCAGAATTGACTGCTATTTTATGTCAAACTTTCTTTTCACCGGGGAAGTAGAAGAAAAAATGGCTGGCACAGAGAAAAATTGAAGAGTTGGGGCAGAGACTCTGGTAATAGCAATCTATGAGTGTGTTGAGAAGGAAGGAAAAAAGCTGAAATACTTGACTAGAACCCATGTGGAATTAACCCAGCTAATGGTCAAGTTCTATGTAAGAGAGAGAGCAGAAGCAAAATCAGAGGGCAAACATTTTGCTTAGATGATCAAAAGTTGTATTTTTATACAGGAAGTGATTAAAATGAAGAAAGCAGAGAGGATTGGAATGGAGGTGGTAATTAGAAAAGGCTGTTCATTTTTCCCATTAACTTACATACCAGCCCTGTCCTGATTTGAAAGTTTATGAATTTCTAGACTTTTAACCTGGATTCTTCATAACCAATTTGCTCCTATTTCATCTAGAAGCCATTAGTAGACTCCACAGGTAGAAGTGCTTTGTGCTTCTTATATGACACTGCTTTCATATGTCTGTAAAAGACCCAGCTTTTCATTATTTTCGGTTCCTGACATCCCTGAGTTACAGTTGAAATACAGAGGTGAATTTATCTAAATAATGAAAGGCTGAATTCCTGCTGACAGTGAAATTAGTATTCATTTATTGTAGCTGAAGAAGCTATGATAGGTTTCCCAGGTGAAAGCAAATAAGAATTCTTTGAAGAATTTTTTTCACTCTGTTGTATCACAAAACAAGGCAGCTCTGTATAATCCTTTTATAGGAGATTTAGAGGGGGTGGTGTTGTAACAGGACTAGTTAAGCTAGACTAAAATTTTTGGAAGGAATACTATATATTCATAAAGATGCAATATGTGTTCAATAAGTCAGATTAATAATTTTTTGGGGGGGGAGGGAGAGAAGAGAGGAAGAAAATAAAACAAGCTTCAATATTTTACTATTAACCCTGTAAAAATACTGCCGTTTGTTTCAGCATTCATCTTTTTCTAAAACTGTTAAAACCTTCAAGGGGCTGACTGAAGTTATCATCAATCCTGAATCAATCACTGCACTAAAAATATTAAATTTGAGGAGAAACAAAAAACCCTGTTAAACTAATCAGTAAAATCCAATCAGTATTTCTTTTGAATTTTGGTTCTCCTGGTTATCAAACAAATCAATAATTGATAGTCCTGATTGTGTGTACTGTTAAGGAGGTGAGGAAGGGATGTTAGCTTGCACTGTCCATGTTCTCCTGTTGAGTCTAGAAAAAGAGTATTTTCCCTAATTTGAAAAGTGAGCACAAGCTTGATGAGTTATATACTGAAAACGATGTACAGATGTCTGGAGCAACTTGGGCTAAAGAAAATGGAAGAAATGGTTTAACTCTTTTGACCTCAGTATTTCGCTGGTGACCTGAACCCCCCCAGTTCACAGAACCAGATTTTGCATGCGTGCACGTGTTCACGTGTGCGTTTATAAAAGCCTCATCCAACTCATTCTTTCATCTACACTTGTATGACTGATTCCTAGGTTTAAACTATTCAAAACCTAAACAGCATTTAAAGATTTCATGAAGATAATCCTTGAAGCTGCTACTGACAGGAAATACCACCTAAAAACTTATAGAGGAGAGCAATAGGTAAAAGAACTGGGGTTTTCTCAATAGGCAGAAAACTGCTTAAATTATAAAAATTTGAACATAGCTACAAGATTATATTAAGCTCTTCTTTGGACAAAATATTTCTTAAACCAGATTAGTTGAATTAGAATATAGTCACTTAGAATACAGAATACTTCTACAAGGATGCAGTAATAATTACTGAAGACAAATAGTCAATTGGATGTTTTGGTTTTGTTGGGGACTTTTTTACAAAATTACCATTTTGTCCTACTAAATGTTTTACTTTGTATCACTGTGCAGTGTAAGTATGAAGACAATACATTTTTTGTTACTTCCCTCAATTTTCCACCTATTCCTCTCCAAAAATAAACCTTTATGTATTTATTTTTTTTCCTTACATTTGTCTCTCTTTTTATAATGTATTCATTTCTATACTGGTATTTTCCATTAATTTTTTCAGTTCTAGGAGGATGGATTCCTTTATTGGTTCTTAAGAGATAGAAGGACTTTTTTTTTTTTTCTTTTTTTTTAATGGAGACGAGTAAACAGATTTTTCAACAAATCAGCAAATTGTAAACTTGTTTCATTTTCTCTATATTTCCAACATACTACACAAGAAAGCAATAATAACCTTCATGAAAAATCAAAAGGTATTTACTTACTTGACAGTTTTCCTTATCTGTCTGTAAATCAAATATAAGCATGCTGCAAACAAAGAAATAAAGAATTAATGTAAGTTGTGCATAAGTTGTACAGGGTCCTATGCCTACTCTATGGTTTAATCTCTGCACTAAATCTGTTTTGGTCAAGCAGTGTGGAATTCAAAAAGCAGAAGGTGTAAGAAGAGATTTCAGAAACTTGTAATAGTCACACACTGATCAAACTTTTCAAATTCACCCTGATATCATGTATTTCTCATTTTATTACAATTACACTTGAAAGCACATTTTCTAGCCACCAAAAACTGGCAGTGCCAGAAACAGAACCTGCACTCAGTATCTCTTGAGGCTTTATAAAGTAACACTGCAACTTATTGCAAAAGAATGGTAGCTTATAACTGAAATCTATGTTTGCTCCAGTATGCTTGTAATAAGGCAATCAGTAAATTAGAAGGAAAAGTTTTAAACGAAAACAGAAACTAAACCAAAATCAACCAAAAAAACAAAGTAGAGAAAGGGATACTCACCATTTGGCTTGCTTCTGGAAAAACCTTTTTAAGTTCTTTGGCCCTAGAAAATATTTTTCTATCATAAAAGAAAAAAAATAAGGAAATTGTAATGGTCCACAAAATACTGTGATTTTTTTTTTCTTAAATGTTTTAACATTAATATGAAATCTACAGTTAGGAAATCATTCACCAACGTCTAGAAAGGAAAAAAACCACAAATACTCCCAGTCTTAATTTTTAAGATATTTACTTTCTTGTGAGTTCATTTTCTTTCCAGAGGGAAAAAATATTTACCCTTCATTCTATTATTCCAGAGATTTACAGTGCATTCAGAGTATAAAATCACCAGTAAATTTCAATTTTACAACGTGTTGAAAGTATTCCTGCACAAGGAACCTTTTAACAGATGCTAATTTCTTGGGCACATGTGATTGTCACCTACAGAGAGGCATGCGGATTCCAGTACCTTTCAGGCACTCAGTAGTAGATTTCCTGTTTGCTTGCATTGAAGGACAAAGACTCTGTGCTCTGCTTGCCTTCTTTTACAAGAGTAGGCACAGAAAAGAGCTCTTGCTTTTATCACAGTGAGCTGCCAGGCTCCAGTCACTACGGGAGCTATGCCATCCACCTGCTTAATTCAGGAAACATGCTGGTTATTGCAGCCCAGGTCAGGGAACTGATAAACAGTTCAGACCATACATTATCTTCAGCTGACAAAATCTTTTACCCTTTGTGCCTATAAAGAAGAGAGCTGCAGTAACTACATTGGACACTGTGCATCAGACTTCACTTTATCTTGCTTTACCTGTCTAAAATCAGGTGAGTAATCCATATCATCACCTGATATTCCTCTAGGCACTTAAAGAAGGTGATTCACCCCATCCTACTATGCATGTCCCAGATAGCAAGGATGAATTGTCAGCTGGAGTGCCTATCTCTCTCCACTGACAGTAATGGAAACCTGCCTAATTTTAGATGGAAATAATAAAGCAAGACAAATCCAGTCCCACAGCAGGAAATATTAGCATAGCCCTTTGAATGTAAATACCATTTCCTAAAATTCTTGGATGCATGATTTCAGACTAACCAATTTATTACATATGATAATATATGTTCTGTCCATTTTTAATAAATTATCTGTACTACTCACGAGTCATATAGTCTCATACAGCCATTAAAAAGAGCCAGTGTCATTGTGTTGGAAAACCTATGACTTTGGCATAGTTCAAGGACTTTTTTGAGGCCAAAATAGTTGAAGCTTACAAAAATGTGAAAGGAGAAACTTAGACTAAAAATATGAAACCCACCTCTCTTAAAAAAATCTGGCTTTAAATGTGAATGACAGAAACATAATTTTACTGTTAAGATCAGCCTCCTGTTTGCATACTTCATTATTTCAATTAAAATATTCAGTAAATTAGTAAACAAGTTACCTCAATATGAAGCCATACCAACAAAACACAAACTGCTCAAATAAAGTTAAAACTCTTGAAGACCATGAAGACTTCAGCCTAAATTGTTCTTTCTCTTCCTGAAAAACAAAAAGGTGATTGTACAACATGTTTAAAAAAAAATTAAGGAAACACTGTAAAAGAGTGAGAAATACCAAAAGATGACATGTCCACTGACAAGATGGAATATATTGCCAGAATATTAACTAATTAATAGTAGCATAAAAATCTTAAGAGTGACTGAAAGAAATGACTTTCAGAAATGAAAGAATGAAAAAAGACTGAAAAGGTTACTGACAGAGTTGAAGGCTAATCTTTCTACTAAAGAAAACCTTAGGAGAAGTTATCTTTCCCAGGGTGCAAAAATCACACATTCCCTATAAACCCTTCCATTTAGCAGTGTAGTTCTCCCATTCTGAGGCAACAAATTTACTTAAAGGTTTTCCTTCAGAATGATAAAATAACATTAGTTTAAATTTAATTTAATACATTGTCATGCAAATCATTTTACATTACATTGAGGTTTTCTATCATGCAATATTTTAGAATGCTGGTCGCTCAACTCATATCATATTAATTCCTTATCGTGTCAGAGGAAAAAAAAATGTACAGTGGTATTTGGATATATTATAGCTTTTCTGATTTTCCTTCCATTAAGCTTCAATTGTTCATAGTTTCCTAAATTTTTTGTCCTTACTTTTCTATTTTCTTCAGAAATGAAGCTGTAATATTAAAGTTTATTAGAATTTTTTTTTCTACATAGAAAGAATAGAAATAAACGTGACAAATATGTGTTATTTTCTCAGCTAACTACTTGATGTCATAGAGATTCTTTAGCAATAGATGTGATTTAATAATTTAGCCAAACAGAATATCTATCTAGACTGCTGGAGGTTAAGGTCACTTAGAATGCCTAGTTCATTTATTGGGTAATAACCAACTATTATCTTTTTTTGTTATTTTATCTTATACATAAATACAACATTTACACTTTCTTGAAAAAAAGAAACATCACATTTCTGTAATCACATGTATGTACAGAAAGGTTGCACTAACCTCTTGGAACTACTGGACGTCTGGGACAATTACAACATTAATGTGGGGAAAAGTGAATAGTAAGTAAGAAATATAATAGATGTAAGTTAAAAACAGTTTTGAAGAGCTAGAAAAGTTCCCAGAAAACAGAAAGCAAAATCAGTGTTGGACTGTAAATCTCTGCTGGGATGTATTGCTTCTGGCCACTGTAACTGTTTTATTTTCCACATAAGTTTATTCAGCACTGCTTCACAGCCTGCATGCCCCGCAGCCTGCTGACAGTGGAAATCAGGTGCACATTGCTGTCTTTTTTCACATGAGTTGACATGCAACAAAACATATATGGGCTGCATATTGTAGATGTAAAATAGTGCATAGTGTAGGTGTGCAATGCTGCACTCAAACATGTCACTATGACTGAAGTTTAAAAAAGGTAAACATGTACCTCAGTAGAGAGTTTTTCAGTCTGGAACCCTTCTGAACAAGTACTGGCAACATATCAGCTAGTAACTAACCCAGTTTTCTTTAAGTTCGTCAAAACAGGGATCAAATTCCTCAGGGCTCCTACCACACACTCCATTTGTACACAAAAGAAAACTCATTCCATTCTAGAAACCTAAGATCAGGAACTACTGTCTAAACAAAACCTGTCTCTGAGGGGCTCAAAGACACCCATGGTATCCAACAGTAATGTTTCATTTTTGCCCAAACAGCATCCAAATTGCACCTGGAGTGAGCCACCTGGAAAGGTGCTTAGCTGCTGTTGGCTTGGCAAGCCCAAGCCCACCAAACATAGGTTTTATGTAGTACAGCTGTAAGGAATCAGATAAGGCACAAGATATGCAGGACTGTGGAGCAGGGTTGGGAGAACAAAACTAGCTACCGTGAGCTGGGACAAATAAAAGTGCAGTGACAGTATTATCCAGGTTTGTAAATTCTGGAGAAAAATATTCCTCCTGAAGTGATCTGGAATTCTGTTTTCATCCTCCAGTTCAAGGACCTATGCTGGGTGCTTCAGTCCATTACTCGATTTTCAAAGATATTTTCAAAGTAACATATATTAACCTCTATAAGCTAGAACTATGCCTGGTTCTGTGTCATCTCTTTCTTTTGACAAGCTATCTGTTTCTATAGACATTTTATCTGATACAGGCAAATACCATACTTTCATCTTTATTCTTCTTTTTTTGTGTGATTGAAACAATTTTTGGTTTTAGATCTGAGAACTTTCCAGTAATGTGTTTTAAGTAGCTTAGTCAATATCAGCTGTTCTTCATGTTTTCATTTCATGTTGACTTTTACATGACCTTGCAACTGCTAAAGCAGCAGCTGTATCTAAAAATGTTAACCTACTGATTTTTTTTCTTTGTATCTGGCTGTATTTAAATGAGGAAATTTATGTTGTTTTACAGCTATGCAAATATGTGCAGAGTGCACCCTGTCCTGGGGTGCATCAGGCACAGCTTCACCAGCTGGGCAAGGGAGGGGATTGTCCTGCTCTGCTCTGCTCTGCACTGTGGCAGCTTCATCTCAAGTTCTGGGGGCAGTTTTGAATGCCACAAGATATAAAAGACATTAAAATTTAGCATCCGGAGAACCATGAGGATAGCAAAGGATCTGGAGGGGAAGCTGAGGCCTCTTCATCTGTTCAGCCTGGAGAAGAGGGGACTGAGGGGAGACTTCATTGTAGTCTTCAAAATCCTCATGGGGGAAAGCAGAGGGGAGGTAGAGATCTCTTCTGTCTCATGACCAATATCAGGAGTCAAGGAAGCAGCATGAAGCTGCTTAGGTTTGATATCAGGAAAAGACTCTTCACCCAGAGGGTGGTTGGGCACTGGAACAGTCTCCCTAGGCAAGTGGTTGCAGCACCAAACTTGACTGCACACAAGAAGTGCTTGGACGGTGCTGCCAGGCACATGATGGGATTCTTTGGGGTGTCTGTTGAGCTCAAATGTCCTGATGGGTCCCTTCCAACTCAACAAATCTTGTGATTTTGTGATTCTATGATCACAGAATGAATCAAACACTGAGACTGAAAATTATCTTTTGCTACTATGTAAAAACAAAGTCCTTTTGTTTCATATTTTCTGTTATAACAACAAAAAAGTTGATTATGAAGCTTGAGAAAAGAGAGTGTACAATGCCAGTATTTAAAATTGTTTGACAGTAAAATATAAATAAAATGTCACCTTTAGAACCATTAACAATGTGATATTGAAAATAATTTTATTTAAAAATCCAGACTTTGAGACTGTATAAAATGATTTTTGTTAGTCTTTTGGGGAAATGATATGTTTTTGCTATTACACTAATGAATCATTTTCTGTATGTTTGAATGGGGCTATAAAGAAAATAATTTGGAGATGACAATGCTGTCTCTTCCCTGTTAACTGGGACAGATTCCAGCTCTTTAGTTACCCATTAGCCTAGACAAGTCTCTCCCCAAACATCCAGAATTAAGCTGTAATTATACCTTCCTAGCCTATGGCAACAAGTAAGTGTGACCCCACACATATCCAATGTCAGTATAGCTTATTCATCTTTTGTTTCAAAGAACAAGTCTGGAAAGCTGCACTTCCAGCTCTGAAGTCTGATAATATGAGAATTCCCAACCAGTACTTGCAGTGACATTTGAATCCAGCTCTATGTTTTGTGTGGACCAATTCCAGGCAGACATTATGAATTGGAGAATCATTCCAGGAGACTAATGGCAAAAAGCTCACAAGTGCAAAGCTAGCTTCATTATAAAGACTGAGACCATTCATTTCGCTAACTGTTTCCTATCACTGATCATGTTAATTAGGGGAATTAGACATGAAACAGCAATAAACTAGAGATGTTGCCAATGCATTTTGTGTCTACGCATGGGTATACATGAATCTGGGTAGAAGA